CTACCCTGCCCCGGGTTAAATGTGAGGGTTTTTTTGAAAAGAAAAGAAACACCTACTTCAAGGCTCAAAGGGGTTAACGAGGGTTTCACTCCCTTATATCTCCGGTGTTTGGGGATTGAAACAAGGCATGTACATCGTCAGCAGGGTCCTATTCAGAAGCACACTATTTGAACTTTCAGCATATTAATCATCATCCTCCCTCCAGAAGTTATTTGCTTTATTTAACATGAGTTAAGTATCAAAAAGTCAAAGAAAAACATTAATGAGTGAATACGAATGGACTAATCCAAAACAAACATACTCAGTGCATTATGATTAGTATTCAACAATAAGCAAGTTTTGCATACAAGAAAGTATTAAACCAAAACAAGAAAGATTACAAATGAGAATGCAAACGTAATTTGAAAATGCCATGTTGAGGAGACTAGTCTCCGTATGGACTTGTTGCTTCAGACGATGATCCGGTAGTCTTGATATCTACTGAGTCAATGGAGACTTCAAATCTGTCTGGCTAGCCTGAAATTAATAGCCTTTGCATCCAGCAAGTCTTGCATATTCTTTGAAAGCCCAACAATCTTCAATGGAATGGCCTATTGCCCCCAGTATAGTAATCATATCAAGTTCCTTCACCATGTGTGATGAGGACCTTATCAAGCGAACTTGCATAAATTGCATCACAAAGCATCTTCTACCACAGAGAAGAAATGCCAACCATCTTCTATCACACAGAAGAGAAATCCAGCCGCTGAATTCCTGAGCGTCTCCTATTACGCAAAAGAAGCGACGTCTTCTATTACATAGAAGCGACATCCAGCAACCATACCAAATAATCTTCTACTACATAGAAGAAAGTAAACTTCATCTCCTACTTCACAAGAGAGAAGTTTTAGCAACCGAATCACGGAGAATCTCCTACTTCACAAAAGAGACTCTGTCTTCTACTACACAGAAGCAAAATTCAGAAACTGTAACAAAGAATCTTCTACTACACAGAAGAAACTAAACTCTGAGTATAGAATTCAATCTTTGAGGTATTTTTTCTTCTACACAACAACAAATATCCGAGAACTCGACGTCTTATACTTCTTCATCATAGAAGCATCACCCCCATCTTAAACTTACACATAAGAAGCAATCAGCTGAGGAAAAAGAGTCTGAAATGGTTTTCCCAAACATGGACTGAACCTTGGAAAAGAATCCAAACAAGTACCAAACCTCATACTTCAACCCCTTGCAGCATTTAATATTCTAACTAAGTGCCCCAGAATGGGAGACACATCTAGCATTTGTATCAAAATCAGGAGAGGAATTTGTTGGAGGATGACCCAAAGCACGAAGCTTAATCAACTGAGCTTCTAACATATGAGGAAGTAACTGGATACAAGGCATTGAGATTGTATCAACCTGCTTCTAAAGCTTTCTCTCTCTCTGCTGGTAAGTTTTACCCTATGGGTTCACTTGGATACCAGAAACTAGCTGCTAGCAAGAGAATCCGAGAACACGGAGCTCTGGGTGAGACCCACAAAGTATCTCATGATTTAAAAAATGTCCCATAGGCTGGGGATGATTGACAGTTCCTGTTGCAACAACGTATGCATGATCATTTTTCTTTGCCGATAATGTCTTCAAAACTTCCATTTCCGACTCAACTAAGTCTTCCACTGGCTATTTTTCCTCTTGGGGATTTTTGACTACATGCCATGACTTGCATGTCCCCAATAAGCAGCCCCATCTGATTCTTTTCATAGAATCCTATTCCTCACGAAGTTGTTTCATAAATTGAATTTGATCACAGAATGGCGGGAAGTCAATGTTGGTAGTTCTGAAAAGAGAATACTGAGCCTGAATGAGGATTCCCCATTATGAGTACCTTCTGAGTACTTTTTATGGATGCATGAAGATGCATCGGGTGAGCGAGAAAATTCTCCCTCTGATATGATTTGGATGCCACAGTCTCTGGATTGATTTTGTCTTGGACCTTGTATCTAGATGACGTACCATCTTCAATCGAATGATCAGTTTCCCCAGGATAATATGCGTAGGATATTCTTTCAGGAGAATGAATGAATGCTTTTCCAAGCGAAATGATATAAGCTGCATCATCAGGCATACTACGCCACACAAAAATACAATCTGTCTTCTATCAGAACAAAAGAGACATCCCCCTGGTGAAAAAGAGTGTGGCAATTGGCCAAAGAGGAATTGGACCTTTGGAAGAGACGCCAAACAGGTGCTGGGCTTTATATTTCAACCCTTTTGTAGTCTTTAATATCAAAACCGGGTACCCAAGAATAGGAGATGTATCAAGTATACATATTGTAATCAGAAGAGACGTTTGTAGGAGGAAGTCCTCAAAGATCAGAGCTGGGAAGAACTGGGAATAATAGGATGTAATGCATTGGGCTCGCATTAGCATGCTCATCAGGGTTCTTGTGTCTTTGCTTAAAAGCTTTTCCCCATGAATTCACTTGGGGAATAAGGACTGGCTCTTGTTGAACAATTTAGGGAACACAAAGTTATGGAGGATGCCCCTGATTAAAAAGTTTGATGCCCCGGTGTGGCAACCATATCTTTATTGTGACAGTAGGTGCAAGATCGTTGACATTGTCATCAGAGCTTCCATGACCTGGCTCATTCGAGTTTTCAATCAATTATCTTCCTGCTTGAATAGATAAACATGTACAAATGAGTAAACTGAAAGCATAAAATAAACACCCAAAGAAAAGAAAATAGGAGCTAGGATCGACTCCGGGATGGACCAACATTTGGTCGACCAGTCCCCAGTGAAGTCGCCAGCTGAAACAACCGGCTGAAAATCATCAAAACAATGAATTCTCCATCGAACGTCTTTTATCCCAAAGGTAGGGAAAGGTAAACATCGAGAAAACCTGAGAAGGGTGAAATTAAGGTCGAACGACCAAGAGATAAGGGTAAGGGAGTCTGTTACGCGAGGGAAAGGTATTAGCACCCCACACGCCTGTAGTACTCTATGGTATCCACTCTTGTTGTCTATCTTATGGGTGTGTTTAATCTATGCTTACTGTTTACTATACTACTGGAAGGAGAATGCATGCAAAATAAAGGGAAAAATGTAGGGAAAATAAAATTGTGCTCGTTCGGGCCCTACCCCGATGCCTACGTATCCCTTTTAAGGAATCAGAGCAGCCGTAGTTCGGCTTATGTTTTTGTTTGTTTGTATTTTCTTTAATGAACAATATTAATTTCTCCTTCTGCCGCAACTCGACCTTTGGAGACTTACGCGTCAGCACAGAAGTGAATTAACATGCTCTCTGAAAGGATTTGGAGAAAATGTGCTTGGGCGCACAAAATTTTGAATTTGGTTTAGGTTTTTAATGAACGATATTAATTTCGCCTTTTGCCGCAACTCGACCGTTGGAGACTTACGCGTCAACACATAAGTGAATCAATATGCTCTTTTTGAAAAGGTTTTGAAAGGAAGGCCCGAAGGCAAAAAGAGTTTGTATTTGTTGTTGTTTTTGCTTGTAGATAATAGCTAGTTAATCTCAAGAGAGAGATATTAGTCATTTCTCCACTTATTCATGAAATGAGTCTTTGAGACTTGAACCATACCAAAGCTTAGAATAAGAGAACAATAAGGTCGAGAAGGGACCCGCTTATCTTCTCACATACTTAACGAAGATATGATTCTCGTCAGTAAATTTTTTTAGTATTTTTGAAGTTTGAAAAAAAAGAGTTTTAGCTTTAGATGCGTATGCAAAAAAGTGGAAAGAAAAGTCAAGGGGATACTAGCCTATTTCTAAAACTAAAGTTATCAGGCGTTGTTAGACCTAAAATTATATATTTCAAAGGAATTCTACCTGATGTTAGCATGCATATGGAGTATGGCAAAGTATGGAAATGAAGAATAAAATGGGATTGTGATGATACCAAACGGAGAAGGTCCGTTGCCTCTTCGAAGCCATGCAAGCGATAAATAAAAAATCTACCGAAAGCCTCTTTGAATCCCCTTGATGAAGGTTGTGCCTTAAATTTACTTCGAAGCCTGTAGAAACTCTTCAACAATTATCACACGCAAACATCATATAATCATGCCAACATGTATCACGAATAAAACACCGTTATCGGATAAAAATTGGATTAAGAATCCATCACAAGGCTTACAAATCAAATGAACATTCAATGAAACAAAACAATCTATTTTTATCGAGTTTATGAGATTTTTTATGAACCTAACCACAAGAAAACAATTAATCAAGCAATTAAGGATCAGAACCCTGCATTAAACCCTTTATCATGCCAAAGAAATTGTATCAATTCGAAAGAACCAACGAGAACATGTTAAAATCCTAGTTCCAAACATATTCAAAGATCAATTCAATTAAATCCTAAACCAATAGATACATCATGAAAAAAATATCAATAAGTCGGGAATCCATATTTTTAATGTATACACAATAAATTAATCAAAAATTATGAAAGAAACATCAAAAATTAATTGCAAAAAATTCAAAGAAACAAAGTAAAGTGGAGAGAAAAGTTAGGGAGTGTAATCAGGATCCAGGGGTATGAATTGAGATATCCAACGCATGGGCCCAGTCCAAATTCTATGTGACCAAGTCTTCCATTTCAATATTATTTTCTGATTTATTAATATATAAAAAGAAATAATAATTATTAAAAAAAAAAAGTTGATACAAATGTAAAACGGTGTAGTTTAGGATTCAAAACGCTAGTGATGTACAGCTTCAACCGTTCTTCTTCCTTGCTCTCTCACCGGCGGCGCGACGGCTTCATCATCCTTACCTTCTCCGATCGGTCCTCAACATGCAGCCGCGAAAGATCGTCTCACCTCGTCTTCTCCAAATTTGAAACGCCACGGTTTGCGCATTGGAACGAAATCGGATCTTGCGTATAAACCTCCAGAAAGCTCTACCGCTGCTCCGCTGGTGAATGATAGCTTCAAGGAATCTTGAACCTCTCTGTAACCTTTGATATCTTGTTGTGAATCCGAGACGAAGATGAGAGCGGCGGAATTATCGCGATGTCAGCGAAATAAACGCAAGCAGCAACTTCAATTCATGGATATGAAAGAGATGAACATATACGAGAATCGGATTCTGATGAAACAGTGAGAGAAAGAGCTTTCAGATGGTTGTCGTGAGAGGAAAAAGAGAGTTGGCATTGATTGAAGATTCTTGAGGTGTGTCGAGGTGCTGCAAGTTGAAGGTTGAAATGTAGACGGTGACGATGAAGTGGTATCAAGAAAATGGAACAGAGAGAGAAAGCTTTGATTGAAGATTCTTGAGGTGAGTTTTTTCTAATCTTTTTGGGTTGAATAATTGTGAATGGATAATCACTTTGTGTTATTGTGAATCTGCAGATATGAGGATATCCATTTCTGTTAGAAGGTTGATGATGAACAAATAAAGGTTGAACTAAGATGCTGCCGGGTAGAGCGAATGAAGAGGAGTGCCAAGATCTTTTTGTTTTTCTATCTTTTGTGTGTAAAGATGGATCCTCATTGATCCCCCTGAAAACTGGATTATATAGTCGGTTGAGTCTGAGAAGTTGGCTAGAGATTGATTAGGTGGTTAGTAAATCTGTTAGAAGGTAGTTAGAAATTTAGCTTAGAAAAAAAACAGTTTGGAGGTTGTTAGAGAGTTTGTTACTCTGTTTGACAGCTAGTTAGTAGAAGTTAGTTTAAGAGGAATTCTATTTTGTTACAAATTCTTAGAACTGAACTGTTAACTGTTATTGATTTTTGCTTTTTAATCTTTCTATGCAGGGCTGAACCGTGGACAGGCTAGGAGTTCCCTCCTGGACATCATTTTCCTTTAGCACCATTTGACACACGTATGCAAGGGTTACTTCTATGTCCACTACATTTAATTTCCACAACGAATTCAACAAAGTACCCTTATTGAGACGAATATGGGAGTCAACGTTTTCAGGGTAACTACCACTAGTTCTAAATTGCCTGCTGAGTTCTTCTTGATGTTTGTGTGACTTTGTGTATATTTTAACAGGTAAGGATTCGGCAACTTCAGCAGGCGAGGGAACATATCTGATAGAAGATACAGAAAGGTGGGAAGATAAAACCACTGATTGCTGGTGAATTTCATCCAGAACCTCGAATAAGGCTTCAGCTAACATCACTATTCTTGATATGCTAGCTCTAGCATTTGTATCATCGTTCGAATTTGAATTATTCTCACGGCTACTTATTCTGCATTCTTTTCAGCTTCATCATCAGCCTCATGATTTTGTATGCAAATATATGGAAGTCATCTTCAAGTCTCCGATTCAAAGCTCATACAGCTTTCCTGGTGCTAACAATCACTTCTGTCTATTCATTCTTCTTTGACAAAGTGGTGAATGGGAAACCAGATGCATATAGTCTCGTTTCATGTGCTTCCTTTGCTATCATGTCACTCAGTTTGTCACGGCGAACTCATTGCGGAGTTGAAATTGATCTTCTCTACTTCTTCCTCGGATGTCTAATTGTGCAGCTCATGAAGATTAGCTTGCAGTTACTCATTCTTGGAGGAGGTTTCAGCTACTCCCTTATTATTCTTCGTTCTTCACTCTCTTCAACAGATGATGGAATAGAAAACGAGTATTTTGACCCGCAAGGTGAAAATTCAGTTGTCCTTGAAATGGATTCATTACTACTGGAACAGCTTAAAACTTGTATGAAGGGAATTGAAGAGGAGAATTTGAATCTTGTAGACAGGCTTATGGAGCTCGTGAAGGAATACAATCTAGATAAGAGTGAATTACATTTACTCGGTAAGTCTGATTATGTAATGGATTCTCTGTCATCAAGAAAGATCCATAATCTTAATGAAATAGTGAAGTTGATGGTAGCAGCTGGTTATAAGAAAGAGTGCTATGATGTGTATAGCAGTTGGCGCAAGGTATTCTTGAAGGTGTGTCTCAAAAGCGAAATATTTGGGTTGCCAAAGGAAAACATCAATTCCATCCATGAGTATGAAAGAGAGAAATATTTAGATATTATGTTTGGTAGATGGATGACTGCTTTGGATGTAGCTATGATAATCTTGTTTCCCATTGAACAGAAACTCTGTAATCGTGTCTTCTTGGGGTTTTCCTCGGCAGCTTCTAGTTTATTCTTTGAGGTTTGCAAAGAAGCAACGTCTCAGCTGCTGTGTTTTGCAGATACAATTGCTTCTGGGAGCCCTACGAAATGGCGTTTGTTCAAAATGCTTCAAATATTCGGGCATTTGGGTAATCATATTCCAAGATTCCAATCTCTTTTCTTGGATTCGACTTTACTGAACGAAGCAATCGCAGTTAGGAATAGATTAGGAGAAGCTAGCAGGGATCTTTTCATGGAAATGCATAATGTTATTTTCGGAGTTCCTGCAGCAAAGGAAACTGTTCTGACTCACGGTCTTCACCGAATTACTTTTGAGGTCATGAGCTACGTGTCTCTTGCTTGCATGTCGCGGAAAAAGTTGGAACAAATTTTACAAGCATACCCCAAGGTTGATAATCAAGTGGAAGCATCTTCTTTAATATATAAAATAAATAGCCTTTGAACTTTCAAACAAACCTTTAAATTTTAAGGCTTGGAAATTGGAATTAGTGAATTTGTGTTGAAGTAGTATGAAGATTATGGTGAAAAGGTAAGGTCAAACTGTGGGATTTCGTGGAAGACATATGAAGATTAGGCTTTGGTGTTGTGTAGGATTTTTATAATTTCTTTTGTAACATGATGGTAAAATTGTAATGAAAATATTTTGAATGCCATCTTGTATTGTAATGTAGCATGGAATTAGTTAAACTTGCAATGTAATTTTGAGAATTCAATGATAATTTCTTCAATGTACCTTTCTCCTCGAAACTGATTTTGAAATTCCAAGTTCTTTTTCTCAAATATTTCCTTTAAATACCTTTATATGAATTTAAATAATCATGGTAGAATTCAAAATATTTGCAAGGTAATCATAAGAGACTTTAATCTTGAATGAATTCTTGAATGAATTCTTGAATGACTATTTGGATGAAATTATGGTTGTTGGATAGTATTTTCTTGAACCATGAAGGAAAGGGTTTGAATAAATGTTTGAACGTATTGTGAACTTGAATCTGGAATAACGATGAACATCTTTGTAATGTGGATGAACACCGACTTGAAATAAGACCTTGCAGTCTGTACTTTACCTTCCAAGAAACAAATATGACCAATACTTACGGCTCTTTGCCAATTTTAATCCAATCAAACACTTTCAAACATCTTGAATTCAAATCAAACTTCAAATCCAAATCACACTTGCATTCTCAATGAACTCCTAACTTCAATCTTGAATCTAAATCAACTTGTATGGTAAGTAATTTGAATAGACAATAAAATCTTGATCTTTAAAAGAAAATTCACAACCTTGCCTTTTGTATCATGCCTCATATTCCACGATTCAATCCATAAGTCTCTTATCTTGACAAAGTCCTTCCCTAATTGACACCCTTAAATCATCAAAGATGGACGTAAATGATAATGAAAGAATATGATCAAGATTAATATGAAACCTTATTTCCCCTGATCTTCAATTACTTGAACATTTATCAATGAATAGAAACCCTGATTTTTAATGAAATCTTCCTTTTCTGAACCAATATTTCTTTTCCTTTACCATACCATTCTTCAAATGCAACTCGAATTCCCAACACATATTAGATGAAAATTCAAGGGAGACCTTGGCCCCAAAGTTAATTGTTCAAAGCTTACTTTAACCGAAGTCAACAAGTCTTATCCTCGTATCTTTGAACTTGGCCCATGATTATGCATCTCAAGGTCTCATAAGAGCTTGTAAGCCCATCAACCAGGTATGCCATGTTGAACAAAACCTTGCCTTGAATGCCTTGAACCTTTAATTACCTTGCATGAATTCTTCCATGAGAAACCCACTTCAATCCAAACCTACTCGCATCGCAGATAACAAATGACAATGATGAGGATAATGATTGCCTTGGTTAAGGAGAAATCTATGAATTCATATCTTAGGTCATGAACCACGCTTCACAATTCAATTCCCAGCCCTTAGTGATCGGTTATTTCAACTTGAAATTAGTGTCATAAGGAACATCTTACAGAGGGATAATAAAGTCTGAATCACAGAAGAATTACCTTGACGTGAAACCCTAGTTGCACAAATGAAAACCCCAGCACTTGCCAAGACTGGATAAAAGCAATTATATCTTGAAGAGAAAGAAATCATGTTAACCACACCTCACAATCTTGATTCCCCGTTTAGATGCACAGAGAAATATTCAGATAAAACATCTTTGAACCATGATTCAACAAAACCTAAATTGATTAACTGAGGAGTAGATGAATGTCATGTCACAATCATTAATCCTAATCAAATGACAAGCATACTTATAGGAAAGGATGTCATGCTTCAAAGTCCATATATGATAGGTCACGTCCTAGAGTTCTTGACCAGAATGACCTACAACCAGTTGTTCATCAGAAGATATTAGCCCAGTAACTTGGTGGAGAAGAAGTCCAGAAATGAGCCTTGAACCTTAATTCCAAAACTTTGTACACCAAGAAGACCCTAGATAATCACACTTATTCAACACATACACCTTTAATCAGCTGTAAACCCTAACTTCCTAACTGCTGATCTTTTGAACCTCAGGCGATCTATTTTATGGAAAATGTGTGCTATGCAAATGACCCCTTGGAATGATGCGGATGAATGCAAAAAGTCTAAGCCCTAAAAGTGCAATTACGAGGGAAAATTTTGGGGTGAAACACTTGCCACTCAACCAAATTGCTTCATTCGTTATAAGAATAACAATCAAATAATATATTCAAAACCATTAATTAAACCCTGTAAAAAAAATAAAAACGCGCTATGATTTAAATGAACCAATGACGCTAAGACACATCTTCATCTTCTTCACAAAAGCCTAGTTCGTTTACCTGCGGATTTTTATCCGCAGGAAGATTCATAGGGTCTTTCAAAAATCTCTCCCAGACCATAAAAATGAAATCCAAGAGTACCAACATACTCGTCTCTTCCTCCTGGTCATCCCTGTAACCATTACTAACCTTAATTTAACCTGCATAAAAAACGCCTAAAAACAAGAACAAGAACCCTAGGTTCTGGATATGGGGTTAGAGGCCATAAAAATACAATCAAATATTGGAGAATCAATGGAAATTGAATGGTGAATATGAATGTACAAGAAAATTGGCAAGAGGATGCAAGAAAATGATTTCACGATATCATGTCCAGAGCCAAGTTCGTGGTGACTTACAGGGCATTTCAGGCGATGAAAATGCTTGGTTTTGATTGGTATAGCTCCACTGGATGTCAAGGAAGAGAGCTGTATTGAGCTTTTGGTTGGAATCGAGCTCCAAGATTGTTTTCGATCTTACACTTTCCAAGCTTTTTCACCCAATTGGTATGGCCGTTTCTGCAAGGTTTTATGCGTGTTCTAGGTTTGGCTTGCTTGTATGAATATAATAGAATGCATTTAGATCAAAATATGGGCTATAATCCAAGTGCATTGAAGATGGAATATTGGATTTGATCACCATTGATAAGCTTTCCAAAAATAGGCCAAATCTGATTTTTTGTGCTTGTTTAGACTTGATACGAATTGATTGAGTGTCACATGGTATTTGCAAGCTGTACAAATCACAAGAATCCCTTTACATAATTTTTTAGATTTTATTTGATTTAATATTGATTAATAATGAATTAAATCAATAAAAATGAAATAAAATAGAAAATAAATGTTTGGTCATGAAATTAAAGATGGGACACGTGTGTGGCATGAAAAGACCAAATCAAGTGGAAAAAAGTGGGCCCTTTTGTCAAAAATTGGAGTTTTGAGGATAGTTGACTTTTGGCAATTTTGGAAAAATGCCCAACTTCAATAATGCATAACTTCTTCAATTTTGAACTTTTGGAGGTGTTCTTGGACTTTTTAGAAACCTTGATATGTCCTCTAAATAACCCTTTTGGTCTCATCTCGTTTTGATGTTCCATTCTAAAGTTATAAACTTTGGAAAAAAAGGTGTTTTGTTGACTTTCAAAAACGACCTATAATGTCCAAATTTGTAACTTTTTGTGAGAGCATCTCTTGATCTTGGGGTGTGAAGATGGATTGTAGGAAATTTCATCTTCTTCAAAATGAGATTTTGATGGGTCATTTCTCATAAATTATGAGAAAGTTATGCTTGTTCAAAGTTTAGTTGACTTTTCCTACAAAACCCTAATTTAGCAACTTTTGAGTCTTGATGAATTTTGAGCAATCCTTGATGAATCATGATCAATCCTTGATAAAATGATGAATTATCCTTCAAAATGATAATGTTGACAAAAAGTCTTGAGGTTTGACTATTTGTAGGTCACAGTTGACTTTTGCCCTAGCACAGTCGATTTTTGGACCTCTTGAGCAATTGACTGACCAAACTTTCTCTGCAAGGCTTGAAATTTTACATGGATGAACTTGAGAACATATTAGGACATTGGGGATCACTTGAGTTAATTTGTATGAAAGGACCTTGATGCAACACAAAACCCTAATTTGATATTGATTGTCTTAGGAGGTGATTTGACTGTCCAACTCTTGAGCTATCTTAAGCAACTTGGGAGTTATTCTTGAAATGTATTGGGAAATATGGGAGGGCAAATTTTGGGGTACAAAAAAAAGAAACAAAAGAAAAACCATACCATGAAAATAAATCACTGGTGGATCAAAAGACCCGACTTATAGAGGATGATAAAAAAATCAAAGGATACACCAACTTCTACTGAAGGCGAAACTACCAATGTTCACTGACGGGGAGTGATAACACTTACTTTACACTTGTTTTTGACTCTGATTTCACATGTTATTTAGGTTTTTTATTATTGTTTTCTCATATTATGCCTATCTTTTGTTTCCTTTTCAAGTATTTCAAATATCTAGAGTTCCCCTGAAGAAATGAAGGAAAACGGGCTGAAAACAGGAGTTTAGGTCAAATTTGCACTCATGGCGTCCACCATGGCACCAGCCATAGGTTAGGACATGACGTGGACCACCTCCTGCTGACCTCAATTTCCATGTTCCCCACTTCCTTTCATTTACACTCATGGCGGGAGCCATGGCCTCCATGGTGGGCGCCACCTTTGGACGATGTCCCCCCCCCCCCCCCAAAAAAAAGGAGTTGGGGGGCATTCCTGTGATTTCCTGCATTCCTCGTCCTCTATAAATAGAAGTTCCTGATTTCATTTCAATTCACCCAAGCTTAGTTGCAAACTTGATCCAACCATAGTTGCGAACTTAAGCCATATAATTTCACCATTGTAAAGCGATAGTTATTTACATCGAGGAATTATTGCATTGATTGATTGAGTCTGTGATCGAGTTCGTAGATTGAGTCTGTAATCGAGTTTGGAGCACTTCAGCAGAGGTTTATCTTGCCACATTTATTTTCAACTGCTGTTTATTTCCAGTCGCATTTTACTTCCAGTTTGTACCAGATTTAAAACCTCCCCGTTTGGAGCAAGTTTCTATTTATATATTCTGCACTGCTTTT